GCTGTAGGACAGCCCCCCATCCCTATCCCTGTCCGTGTTCGCTCCAGTGCGGTGACGAAGCAAGCATTCCGCCAGGCCTCACACTGCCCGCTCTCAGCGGTCGCGCCGCCCCCCCCCCCCCGGGACTGGGGGACTCTGGCGGGGCTGAGAGGACTGGCACCGCCATTCTGTGCCTATGGGCACCACCATCTTTGTGACAGAGTGACAGTTAATTTGCATATTACCCTTTTATTAGATAGGATGTCTTTACCTTCTACTGAAGACTTTTTTACATATATATACCTTCCTACTTGATGAAAACACTTTCTACTCACCTGCAATGCTTTGTTGGCTTCTTTTATATCTTCTATTTTAAGTTTGGATCTAAAAAGATTACAAATAAGTCCAAATTTCAGTACACATAATTAAATATAGGACATCTAGTAATTCATTAGAAAGGTACTGCTTTTACACAGAATATAAAATTGTATATCATACATGATTCTAATCTTTGGCTAGTGGGATTATATTTTATATTTTCTGTCTGAAAGCAAAAATGTATTCCTTAAACTTAAAAATTGCTTTTTAAAATACATTTTCATGTGATTATGACAATATTAGTATTAATAATAGCTATCATTTATTGGCTTATGGTATGCCAGACACTATGCTATAACCTTTGCATGCATAATCTCATTTAATCATTTTTTGGAAAAAAACTATTTTAAAGATGAAGAAAGTGAGCTCTGATGAGGTTTAGTCACTTGTAACAAGTCACAGAAGTAGTAACTGGGGAAGCCAGGATTCAAACCCTGGTCTGTGTGACCACAAAGCCCACATGCTACCATTATACACATTATTTGTCGAACAGATGCAAAAGAGAGGAGAAATTATGGAAGATATAATAGTAATACTTTAATTGAATGTATTGGGTGACACTGGTTAATAAGATCATATAGGTTTCAAGTGTACATTTCTATGATACATGATTGTATATTGCATTGTATGCCCACCACCCAAAGTCAAATCATCTTCCATCACCATTTAATATTTTTTTTAACTTTTTACTTTTTTTATTGATTTTTGTTTTTGTTAATCCTCACCCGAGGATATTTTTTCATTGATTTTTAGGGAGAATGGAAGAGAGAGGGAAAGACAGAGAGAGAAATATCAATGTGAGAGAAACACATCCATTGGTTGCCTCCTGCATGAGCCCTTGACCAGGGCCCGGGCTGGGGAGGAGCTTGCAACCGGGTACGTGCCCTTGACTGGAATCAAGCCTGGGACCCTTCAGTCAGCAGGCGGATGCTCTATCCATTGAGCCCAAACCAGTGAGGGCCTGTCACCATTTTTTGGCCTCTTTTACCCTTTACTACCCCTTCCTTCTCTCTGGTAACCACCATACTGTTACCTATGAGTTTCAGTTTTATGTAATACTTTTTCTTTTGAAAATACACATTAATGAACATGCATATTAAAAATAGCAATATTTAATTACCTGAGAGCACACTATCCAGCGATGATAATCTCTACATGTTCATGAATGTGTGTATTTTATATGGAATCATTATTGACACAAATTTCCATAACCAGCACTTACCAATATATCCTAACAGGCTCAAAGCTACTGACTTCCTATTTAGTATCTGCCACATTATTATAGTAAATGGTTACAAGTATGCCATAAAAAAATATAAAGTAATTTATGTAATTATCTACTGAACTTTCAATTTGTTTCAAATTTTTTGCCACAAAAATTACTCATGAAAATTGGAATGACCAAAACATTTATATTATTTTTCTTTTTTTTTTTTTTTTTTTTATTATTTTTTTTTTTTTTTAAATATATTTTATTGATTTTTTACAGAGAGGAAGGGAGAGAGATAGAGAGTTAGAAACATCGATGAGAGAGAAACATCGATCAGCTGCCTCCTGCACTCCTCCCACTGGGGATGTGCCCGCAACCCAGGCACATGCCCCTGACCGGAATCGAACCTGGGACCCTTCAGTCCGCAGGCCGACGCTCTATCCACTGAGCCAAACCGGTTCTGGCTATTATTTTTCTTAGAACTTAGAGATTACTGACTCAAAAGTTATATCAAATACTTGATGAAGCAGAACACTAGGAATTTGCTTCACCCTACAAATGCTCTTTATTCTAAGACATAAAAATATGGTAGGCTTTTATCTGGCTCATACTTACTCTAACATTGGGAATAACCAATGTAAAATTATACAGTATAAAAATATTAACTGAATAATCAAATTTTCTTGGCTGAATTCAGTGCCCAAGGAACACTGATGCTAGTGGGAATAATGGCCAAAACAGTAACTGTGCTGTTTTGAAAGTACCTTAATGGCATTCACTATAGAAATACTTCATGAAAACTTACTGGTATTAATATATTGCCAGTTAAAATATTTTCATTCACAAATATGGACTCTAAAAACCTTGCCTCTCTCTAATACAAACTGCCAAATATCCTAAAGAAAAGGGCTATCAGCCCAGCTTGGCTCAAAGGTTAAGCATGTACCTATGAACCAGGAGGTCACGATTCGATTCCCGGTAAGGGCACATGCCCGGGTTGCAGGCTCAGTCCCTGTGTGGGGCACACAGGAGACATCCGATCAGTAATTCTCATCATTGATGTTTCTATCTCTCCCTCTCCCTTCCTCTCTAAACTCAATAAAAAGATGTTTTAAAGTATTGAGCCAACCTCAGGCCCTCATCATCAACAAATTTTTAAAGAGATATTCATCATCCTTTGTATTAGGGAGGAATTTATTTTTACTTAATCCAATCTGATAACACAATCATAGGAATAGAGGAAGAAGAGTATTTCAGCAGATAAACTGATACAGTCTGGGAAAACTCACAGGGCTATTGGTCCTTTCCTCCAGCCCTGATTAAAGTCTCATCATTGCAGAAGAGGACTAAAGTTGACAAAGGTAGAATGTGTTTTGACTCACAATTGGCCCTACCCATATCTTAGGGAATATGGGTCTCAGAAGCAGAAAAGGAAAACTAATAAAGCTGCCCTATAAAAATTCAAACATTAGCAAGGAAAAAACTACATATAACCTAAAGTAAAAAAGACATGACAAAGTGGGGGAAAAAAGATGTATGGTGTGTATAACAATTAATTTACAAAGGTCCCATAAGAAAAAGATAAGCAATCCAACCAAAACATGTACAGAGTATATAAACTTCAATACAAATGGAACACAAACAGAAGTTCAACCCTACTCATGGTTAAAGAAGTATAAATCAGTATTTTCAGTTATCAGACTGGCAAAAATAAACATTCTCTCCTACTTCTTTCTGGAGGAAGGGTTAACAGTGAAGTGATGGGTAATTTGGCACTATCAAAAAATTTGAAAGCACATCCTTTTGGCCCAGCAATCATCTCTCTAAACTTAATTTTTAGATATACTCATTAATAAAGTATATCATGATATATCAACATAAACATACAAAGATGTTCACAGAAATACTGGGTGGTGTTCATTTTTTAAATGTATTTTTACTTATTTCAGAGAGGAAGTGAGAGAGAGATAGAAACATCAATGATGAGAGAGAATCATTGCTCAGCTGCTTCCTACATGCTCCCCACGGGGGTTCAAGCCTTCAACACAGGCATGTGCCCTGACCAGGAATTGAACTGTGACCTCCTAGTTCATAGGTCAACGCTCAACCACTGAGCCATGCTGGCCGGGCAGGGTTATTTAAAAAATTAGAAACAGTTTTTTAAAAATAAGAAACAGTTTCAATGATAGCACACTCATGGCCCTGGCCGGGTGGCTCAGTTGGTTAGAACGTTGTCCCAATACACCAAGATTGTGGGTTGGATCCCCAGTCAGGGCACAAACAAGAATCAACCAATGAATGCATAAAAAAGTAGAACAAATCAATATTTTTCTCGCCCTAGCTGGGTTGGGTCAGTGGATAGAGCATCAGCCTGGGGACTGGAGGGTCCCAGTTTCGATTCCTATCAAGGGCACATGCCTGGGTTGTGGGCTCGATACCTAGTAGGGGGGGCATGCTGGAGGAGCCAATCAATGATTCTCTCATCATTGATGTTCCTATCTCTCTCTCCCTCTTCCTCTCTAAAATCAATAACGTTTATTTTTTTAAATCAATGTTTTTCTCTCTCCCTTTTCCTCTCTAAACCAATAAATATAAATAAATAAAAATGATAGCACATTCATCCTAAGGCATATCTTTATGTACTGAGATGGAAAAACTTCTAACATGTATTCTTAAGTAAAAAAAGCGCAAACTTCAGAAAAAACATGCATATAGCTGAGTTACACAGGGATTAAGAATGCAGTTTACAATGAAAAATTTTAGTAGTCAAAATAACCCTTGAAAATTCCTTAGTCAATGAATTTCAGTATAGACTGTTGAGTGTATATGGCCTTGAGCAGTGATTTTCATGAAACTGAAATTTGAGAACCATGAATTAGACTGAAGGAAAAACCAAGTCTGAATTCAGCTATCTGAACAGTCAAAAGACCATGCTTTCACTACAACTATAAAATTTCTCATGTTGAATGAGAGATGGGTGAAAAGTAAGACACATTCCTTGTTTAACTATTCTAATCTGTTATAATATTAAACCTTTATGATCTTAGTAAATGTAAACATTTTTTGTTGTGGGGATTCTTCACTGTTGAGTCCCTAGCATTTAGAATAGTGCCTGGCACATAGCAGAAGGTCAACAAGTATTTATCAAATGAATGAATGGAAAAAAGGTAATAAGCACTTAGCACTGGATCTGGTTCAAAGTGCTAAGTAAATGGATGCCAGAATCACAATGCAGTTGTTCTTTGAATTTGTAGAAATAAAAACTGTTAGAAAGCTAATGTTTCCTTTTGTGGTTTTAGTGAACTATTCTTCCCCTGCCCTTGGAAACTTGTTTCAGGACTTCTTAATGGAATCCCATCTTTAGCAAAATGCAGACCACAGGAAACAAAGAGGAATATGTGAGACAGAACATTTCTCTTTCTTGTCTTTGTAGGAACCCAACAACATTTCATTGCAATAGAACCAACCACACTGTTTGAAGCCAAGCCCCTACTCCAGGCGGGATAAAATACCCTTCACTTCCCACAATGTTGGCTCCTTCTCAAAACACTGCAAAAGCTGTCTCCAGATATTTTTAAAACTTGGCTTCTGTTGTTCTGAGAAAAATCTAACTCCTGAATACTCTGATTTAAAGAAATTAAACAAAAGTCTTAGCTTTCATCTCCTAGAAAATGTTCAGAGCCAAGATCTAATATGAAAACTTAATAAAATCTCTCTACCCGATACAGTAGGTCCTCGGGTTACATCAGAGATCCGTTCCTATGGCGCGATTTAACGCGATTTTCAACGTAAGTCGGAGCCCACCTACATAAGCACCTACGTCACTCACATGGAGCACATACACAGCAGTAATGAAGTGAAACAGTAAAAAAAATTTAAAAGATAACAATTCCTGACCTTTACTGTGGTAAACAAATGAAAAAAACATAAAGCACATATGTACATACGCTGAAATGACGGAACATTTTTTTTTTTTTATAAATAAATGGGAGATAGCAACGTAATGTAACCACAAAATGATGTACGTCGAGGCCAACATAACCCGAGGACTGTCTGTAATCTTATTTGTTAATCTTCAAAGTTTTTGTTTGGTTTTGTTTTTAATAGTTCTTACCTTTCTTTTCTATATTTAAACTTTTCTGCCTATTTGGTTTGGCACACTTAATAAAAATCAATGACTACTTAGTTGAAGGAAAAAAGAGAAATTACTCGCTAAGTTTGTTGCCAAGTTCTTGAAGAGCTTGCTCCTTTTCATGATATATTTTTTTCAGCTGCTGATTTTCATCCTGGAGGTTAAGGAACTCCTTCAAAACAGTAAAAAAACAGAAAACACAATTTAAAAGAAAGAAACAAGAAAACTCCACATTATATACATACCATTAATTAGGAACACAAATCCTTTAGCTTTTTATAAAAAACAGAATTGACTGACAGATCTCAGAGTGGAGGGGGGACAGGAAAAGATTAACCAAAGAACTTATATATATACTAGAGGCCTGGTGCACGAATCTCGGGGGATATCCGCCTGCTGACTTAGGCCCGATCCCCAGCTGGCAGTCAGACATCCCTCTCACAGTTCGGGGCTCTTGCAGTCTGGGACCCCTCGCTCCTTACTGCCTGCCTGCAGTGGAGGCAAGAGAGGCTCCCGCCACCACTGCTGCACTTGCCATCCATGAGCCAGGGTTCTGGCTGAGTGGCACTCCCCCTGTGGAAGCGCAATGACCACCAGGGGGCAGCTCCTGCGTTGAGCATCTGCTCCCTGGTGGTCAGTGCATGTCACAGTGACCAGTTATTTCACCATTCAGTTGATTTGCATATTATCCTTTTATTATATAGGATATGCCTAGCCCATGGATACAGACAGTAGTGCAGTGAAGGTGTGGGGTGGGGCGGGGCAGGTGGGGGAGGGCAAAAGGGGGAAGTGGAGGGCATCTGTTATACTGTCAATAAAAATAAATTTAAAAATAAAAAACAAAATTTTATGTCCAAAGCTATTTCATAGTTGCTCTATCAACTATTTTCTATTCATTTAATCTCCTTACTATTTTTTAAAATATAATTTTATTGATTTCAGAGAGGAAGGGAGAGGGATAGAAGTATCAATGATGAGAAAGAATCATCAATCGGTTGCCTTCTGCATGCCCCCTACTGGGGATTGAGCCCACAACCGATGCTCTAGCCACGGAGCCAAACAGGCTAGGGCTCCTTACCAATATTTTTTAAGATGACTATTATATATTGTTTCCTTGGTATAAATGTAAATTATGATTTGATTCTCTTTATAAATAACTTTCATCAAAATGTAATTTTTAAAAGTTTTACCACCATTTACTTTTTTAAGACTAATGATTTGTTGGGTCTCATTTCGAAGATGAGATAAAACTTCTTTTTCCTTTTGAAGATCTTCCTGCAAAGTCTGCCTCCATTCCTTCTCAATCTTCAAATCAGTTTCCAGTTGCGCCCTTGAATGACAAACAAACAGAAGCTCAGTACTGCTGCTCACATGACAGTTGTATATATTCTTTAACAGAGCATCTTTTGGGTTATTTTTGCCTTTATAATTCATTTCTTCATATTTCCTTTCATAAATATTTTTTGATAAACAAATTAAGCAGCATGGCATTTTCTGATCCCAAAGCACCAGTTTAATTGCCAACCACAAAAACTCCCTGCTAGACAATAATTTGCATAGAAAATGCCTGAAAGGCCACACTATACTATTACAACTGGTTACAAGTAACTGTAGTGTGTGAGAAATATGGGGTTTTATTTACATTTCTGTGCCATGTGAAAAATTTTACAACTAATGAAAAGTACTCTTCTGATATAAAAATTATAGCAACCACTAAATCAGTTTAACATCAGTATTAGAAAAACCAGCTCTGGCACAAAGAGCTACTTAGATTACTGTTAGAAGCTGACCAATTACAAGACGGTAAGACCAAGGAGACACTGGGGAAAATCCACACTGCCTGGAAATGCCAGTCCACATTTGAAAGCACTACTTCAACATTCTAACAACAGGTACTAGCTGACAAAACAGAAGTTGTGAAATTCCTTCATTTCGATAATTATTGCTCACAAGTAGGTATAACAGGGGAGTATATACTAATAATGCTACAGTTTCTAATATTTTACATTTTAATTACAATATATCATAATACTGAGAATATTACATTATTTTAATTATCTTGTGTTAATATTTTTATTACATCTGTTTCCTCATTAAAGTTAGCATTTCCATTTACAGCCAGGTTCTTTTTCAGTGAAGTAAACTTCAGATTTTATAATTCGAGTTGATGAGAATACCTCAAAATAGAATTTACAAATTGTTGATAAATACTATTTTACTACAAATTTAAAAGGAATACATAGGGGCAAATATAATATTACTACCACTAAAGTACCCAAAGTACAGAGTGCCTTACTGAGCGAGTGGCCTTATCATCATCCACAATCAGAAAAAACTAAGTGAAGCGAGCTCCCCTCCCCCCGCAGACCCCACACCTTTCCTCCCCTACAGGCGAGCATCTCCTAAACTCTAAGGGTCCCCATGAGACTTGCATCCAGTGGAGCAATGGGCAGCAGCAGCTCATCTTGGGCTAAGCTTCTGGGCCTGTCTCCAAGGCCCTTTTCCTCACTTCTCAGTGAGCTGAAAGCAGCCCTGCCTGGGTCACTTGTCACTGACTTTTACTTCTCAGTGAGTCCACAGCCCTGTGGGGCTCACTTTCCTCTAACTTCTAGAAGGCCAACGCAGCACCGCCTAGGATCTCTCATGTTGCTGCTTCTATCCTAAGCCCGTCCTTGTTTCACTGTCCCCAACGGTAATAAATGGACTCTCAAAATAAAAAATACTGAGTGAAAAAACAAATTTAAAATTTTTTTAAATTACTATAAATATATTGTCAAAACATGCTGACCACCAAAAGCAGAAAATCATAGAGAAAAAAAGGGAAAATGTAACTATAAAAATTTTAATTTTGTAAATAAAAAGCAGTAGACTATGAACAATGTTAAAAAATTAATAATAAACTTTAGAAAACTTTCACTATAGGTGAAAAACCTAGAGTAAAAAGATAAAGCACTCTTACCAAAAAAAAGCTGTACACGAAGGGAAAAAAATACTTATAAACTGACAATTCACAGAATAAAGAAATGCAATCTATCACTTGTAGTCAAAGATATGCAAACTCAATAAAGCATAATTTTTCAGATTAAAGGATTTGTTTAGGTTAACTGTGATATGATGGTGTAGACCTATATTAAGTGATATGTAGTAATACAATAAACAAGATACTAAAGAGCATGTAGCATGATCCCTTCCTAAAAACCAAAACTACATAATATAAATATAACATAATACCAAAAATAAATAAGGATAGTCATCAAAATGTTTTTGGTTTTTTTTTAAAAATATATTTTATTGATTTTTTACAGAAAGGAAGGGAGAGGGATAGAGAGTTAGAAACATCGATTAGAGAGAAACATCGATCAGCTGCCTGCTACACATCTCCTACTGGGGATGTGCCTGCAACCAAGGTACATGCCCTTGACCAGAATCGAACCTGGGACCTCTTGGTCCACAGGCCGACGCTCTATCCACTGAGCCAAACCGGTTAGGGCCTTATGCAATACTTTAACAATAAAGAATTAAAAAAAAAAAAAAAAAACATGCTTGAAACAAATGGAAAAAAAAATAGGAAGTTCCAGCAAAAATAAAAAAGGAAGAGGGAAAGGAAAGAAGGGAAGGAAGGAGATATAGAGCCAAATGGAAATCTTAGAACTGAAATATACAATAATCTCACTGGATAGACTCACTGAGGGAAGGAAGATGAGGAGGAAAGAATGAACTTCAATACAGAAATTACCCAATATGAACAACAGAGAGAATATAGACTAAAAAATAAGAGTGTCAGAGACCTGTGGGACTATTTTTAAAAAAGATCTGCCTGGCCGGCATGGCTCAGTGGTTGAGCATTGACCTATGAACCAGAAGGTCACGGATCCATTCCCATTCAGTGGACATGCCCAGGTTGTGGGCTTGATCCCCAATGTGGAGCATGCAGGAGGCAGCTGATCGATGATTCTTTCTCATCACTGATGTTTCTCTTCCTCTCCCTACCTCTCTGATATCAATAAAAATATAGGAAAAACAATAAATAAATAAGATCTAACATTTATGTTTCAGAGTCCCAGAGGAGAGGAGAAAGCATGTGAAACTGAAAAAATATCTGAATAATGGCCAAAATTTTTCCAAATTTGGTAAAGATAAACCTAAAGATTCAAGAAGCTGACCAAAGCCCAAATAGGATAAATCTAATAAAAGAATCTTGAGAGTAATTAGAAGAACAATTAAAATGACAGTTTATTTTTCAGCAGAAACTATGAAGACCAAAAGAAAGTAGCACAACACTTTTCAAGTGCTGAACAAAAAGATCAATTTAGAATTCTAAGGATACCCTGAAAATATTCTTCAGAAATGAAGGTGAAATCAATCAAGATGTTTTCCAATGAAAAAAAAAAAAACACATAAGAAAATGTGTTGTCGCCCTGACCGGTTTGGCTCAGTGGATAGAGCATCGGCCTGTGGACTGAAAGGTCCCAGGTTCGATTCTGGTCAAGGGCATATACCTTGGTTGCGGGCACATCCCCAGTGGGAGGTGTGCAGGAGGCAGCTGATCGATGTTTCTCTCTCATTGATGTTTCTAACTCTCTATCCCTCTCCCTTCCTCTCTGTAAAAAATCAATAAAATATATATATATTTTTAAATGTGTTGTCAACACACCTACCCTCAAAGAATGGCTAAAGGAAGTTTTTCAGACACAAATAAGAAACTTGGGACACCAGGAATGAAGAAAGAATAACAAAAAGAAAATTTTCTAAATTATGTTTACAGGTTGAAGCACAAATTATAACACTGACGCGCTTCTCAATATTATGTAGAGAAAATACTTAAGCAAGTCGTATTATAAAGGAGAGAGGGTATAAAGTGGAGGTAAGGCTTCCGCACTTAAAGTAATAGAATGTTACCAGTAGACTGTGAAAAGTTGCAATACATAATGTGTAGAGCAACCACTAA